GATTCTAGTTTGGAAAACAGTCTGACACCTTCAGAATGCTCCTTGATTGTAGGTGAACTATAAATCCCAATAAATGTCAAGGTATGTTTCCCTCAAGCTCCATCTGTGTTCCTAGTTGGAGATATGGAATATTCGGGCCAAGTTTGGTCCCGATCCATCATTGTTTGAGTCCACAGTGCTCTCTGGATGTAGGTGTACTACAACTCCCATACTCAAGGTCAATAACCACCAAACTCTTCTAGTGTCTTCTGTTGGTCATAGGAGCCCTGTGTGGCACGTTTGGTTCAATTCCATCTTTGGTGGAGTTCAGAATGCTCTTTGATTGTAAGTAACCTATAAATCCTAGCAACCACAACTCCAAAATGACAAACTCGATTTTTTTGAGTGATGGTCACTCCTTGGGTTAGTAGGTGTCTTGTGGCCAAACTTGGTGGCAATTCATCCAGTGGTTTTTGAGTTATGTTAATTCCACAAATGAACATTACATTTTTATTTATATAGATACATACACACACATCCACATGAGAAGGGTTTATGTATATTTTCATTGTGAGCCAGTCTGAGTATGTAAGGAGAGAGAAAGCAGAATATAAAGAAAGAGAATAAATGAATAAAGATATGCCTGTGTGCAATACACATGCACATATATTCACACACACACGACATACACATACTTGACCAAGTGCTGAGAAGTCTCCAAAGGCACTCCCTCCGCTGACATTGGAGATTATAGCGAGTGCCATGAACATGTATCCCAAACGCTGCCAATGTCCTCCCCAAACACACAGCCCACCACCCAAGGAATGCTTTCCTTCCAAGACAATTTCATCCTAGATACGATAGGTGTTTCCTCCACCACAGGTGGCCATCCCAGGGTGATAATGTGGCATGTCTCATTCAGAGCCACATCCACTGTTTTAATGTGGTGAGATGTTTTCCACACTTGGAATGTGTATTCAGAAGCAGAGTAGCCAAGCGCAAGGGCAGATGTGTTCACTGTGTCTGGTTGTGACCCTGAGGTTGTGCCAGTCAGCTTTCGTAGGATATTATTTCTTTTCTTTTTTTTTTTTTAAAAAAATGTTTATTGTAGTTTTACTTACAAACTTTTAAAAACAATAGAATTCTTAGAAAGAGGAAAGGGAGGATATTATTTCTAGCACCCACTTTTTGCTTCATATTCGGGCAGTGCTTCTTGTAGGTCAAATAGTCGGGTTGATAGATAGATATATAGAGATAGAGAATTAGAAAGATAGATAGAGAGATAGAGAAATAGATAGATAGATAGATAGATAGATAGATAGATAGATAGATAGATAGATAGATAGATAGAGATAGATAGATAGATAAGCTAATGGGATAGAGCGATGGATGAATGGAGGGATGGTGATTGGATGAATTGAGGGATGGATGGATGGATGGACGGACGGACGGACAGATAGACAGACAGACAGATAATGGCAATGGGATAGGGAGCCCATTCCTCCTTTTAGACCTATCCATGGTGCTGAACCTAGTCTCCAAATAGCTTCAGCACCATGGATAGGGATAAAAGGTAGGCTGGATTCCCTGTTTAAGTGGCATGGAAGACATCAGCCCATTTTCTCCAAGATTTTACATATATTGAGAGGCAGGCATGTAGCCGGGGGGGGGGCTTGAGGGGCTTCAGCCCCCCCCCCCCAAATTCTCATGGTGGTTTGCGAAAAGGCCTTACTGGTGCATTATTTAAACTGTTATGTTTATTCATATCATGATCTGATCACCATACTCAATATATCCCATATGCATGGGGTTATTGGGGTAATGATACAAAAGGTTTGCTAGGCTAGACCCTCTTTCACTCAGACTCAGCCCCCCCCCCCGAAACTCAGCCCCCCCAACCCCCCCTGAAAAAATCCCCCCCCCCCGAAACGAAATCCTGGCTACGGGCCTGGTGCTACCAGTATGCCCAGTTACTGTTGCGTCTCGAACCTGGGACAACCGCGATTCCTGAGAACTTTAGGCTGTGTTTGGAAGCAGTGATGAGTTGGCTGTGAGCGAGCAGACTCAAAGTGAATCCTGCAAAAACTGAGATACTCTGGCCCAGCCAGCCGCCAGAATTAACCCAGGTCTCTGCCTGATTTCGATGGGGAAGCTCTGGTTCCGTCTGCCACTGGTAAAAGCCTTGGGGTTGTGTTGGATTCATCGCCGACGATGGGGGCCCAAATCACTGCCATAAGTCAGCAGGCCTTTTTTCATCTTCGCCAGGCAAGGAAATTGGCATCCTACCTTTCGGTAGAAGCATTGGCAACAGTAATCCACGCAACAGTCACCACGAGGTTGGACTATTGCAACGCCTTATATGCTGGCCTTCCAAAGTCAACAACCCAGAAGATTCGGATGGTCCAAAATGCGGCAGCCAGGCTGCTAGCGGGATCATCTATAAGATCCCATATTACACCGATTCTGCAACAACTGCATTGGCTACCAATAGAACAGGATCTCTTACAAGATACTGATCCTGACATTTAGAGCTCAAAATGGCCACGGACCTTTCTATCTTAGGGACCGCCTCATTCCTTTTCCCCATCAGTGGTCACCTCGATCCACCCAGGAAAATCTCCTATACATACCGGGTCCTAGGGAGGCACATTTGGAAGCTACAAGGCGTAGAGCTTTTTCGACCTATGCTCCAATTCTGTGGAACTCATTGCCTCCATACATTAGAGCAATGTCAGAGTTGTGACCTTTTGTAAAGGCACTCAAGACTTGGCTGTTTGGTTGTGCATTTAAGTAATCAGATCTAATTTGCCAAATAGTCACTGTTGAATGTTTTTATGTTGAATGTTTTTATATTGTGTAAATGCTATTTTAGACTGTAAATCGCTCGGAGCACCTTGGTGGAGAGCGACTAATTAGGAAATAAAGTGAAGTGAAGAAGTGAAGTGAAGAGATAGAGATAGTGAGGTAGAGATAGAGGGATAGAGAGATAGATATATAGAGATAGATTATGATAAATTGATAGAGAGAGCGGAGGAGGAGGATAGGGATAGAGAGAGAGATATTGTGAGGTAGAGACAGAGGGATAGAGAGAGATGGGTATATAGAGATAGATAAAGATAAATAGAGAGGGGGGATAGGGATAGAGAGAGAAGAGATACAGAGAGAGATAGAGATAGAGACAGAGAGAGAGGGGGATAGAGAGAGAGAAAGAGAGATAGATATACAGAAATAGAGACAGAGAGTGAGAAAGAGAGTGAGAGTGAGAGAGAGAGAGAAAGATATATATATAGAGAGAGAGATAAATAGATAGAGAGAGGGGGATAGAGAGAGAGAAAGAGAGATAGATATACAGAAATAGAGACAGAGAGTGAGAAAGAGAGTGAGAGAGAGGGGGGGGATAGAGAGAGAAAGAGAGATATAGATAGAGATAGAGAGATGGAGAGAGAGAGAGAAAGATATATATATATAGAGAGAGAGAGAGAGAGAGAGAAATAGAGAGAGGGGGGATAGAGATAGAAAGAGAGAGATAGAGATAGAGAGAGAGAGGGATAGATAAATAGAGATGGAGATAGAGAGAATAGAGATAGCTGGATAGATGAGAGAGAGAGAGGTAGATAGATAGATAGATAGATAGATAGATAGATAGATAGATAGATAGATAGAGAGGGATAGAGAGACAAAAAGATATATATATAGAGAGAGAGAGAGAGAGAGAGAGAAATAGAGAGAGGGGGGATAGAGATAGAAAGAGAGAGATAGAGATAGAGAGAGAGAGGGATAGATAAATAGAGATGGAGATAGAGAGAATAGAGATAGCTGGATAGATGAGAGAGAGAGAGGTAGATAGATAGATAGATAGATAGATATAGATAGATAGATAGATAGATAGATAGATAGATAGATAGATAGATAGATAGGGATAGAGAGAAAAAGAGATATATATATAGAGAGAGAGAGAGAGAGAGAGAAATAGAGAGAGGGGGGATAGAGATAGAAAGAGAGAGATAGAGATAGAGATAGAGAGAGAGGGATAGATAAATAGAGATGGAGATAGAGAGAATAGAGATAGCTGGATAGATGAGAGAGAGAGAGGTAGATAGATAGATAGATAGATAGATAGATAGATAGATAGATAGATAGATAGAAAATATATATAAATATATATATATATAGAGAGAGAGAGAGAGAGAGAGAGAAATAGAGAGAGCGGGGATAGAGATAGAAAGAGAGAGATAGAGATAGATACAGATAGAGAGAGAGAGGGATAGATAAATAGAGATGGAGATAGAGAGAATAGAGATAGCTGGATAGATGAGAGAGAGAGAGGTAGATAGATAGATAGATAGATAGATAGATAAAAAGATATATATATAGAGAGAGAGAGAGAGAGAGAAATAGAGAGAGCGGGGATAGAGATAGAAAGAGAGAGATAGAGATAGATACAGATAGAGAGAGAGAGGGATAGATAAATAGAGATGGAGATAGAGAGAATAGAGATAGCTGGATAGATGAGAGAGAGAGAGGTAGATAGATAGATAGATAGATAGATAGATAGATAGATAGATAGATAGATAGATAGAGAGAGAGAGAGATGGAGATTGAGATAAAGAGATAAAAAGATAGATAGATACAGAGAGAGGGAGAGGGAGATAGAGAGGGAGATAGAGAGAGAGATAGAGAGAGATCCCAAATATTCCAGACTTGGAAACTCGTACCAGTGCATGAAATTTGGGGGAGAGGGGGACATGCTAATAAATACATATATAATATATGTATCAGGAGAAGAGCTCTTCTCTCTCTCTCCTCCCCCCCCCACTTCCTCAACGCGTGACGTCACTCCGCGGGAGGAGGGGGGGAGGAGGGGGGGTGGGGGCTGTGTCCAAGGCGCGCCTGCCAAAAGGCTGCCCGTTCAAAGGGCTTGGGGAGCCGTCGGAGCTGCAAGAGGAGCCCTTCTCTCCCGCCTTGGGAAGGAAGGAAACCTTGTCCCCCCCCCCCCCTCCAGTCCTGAGACCCCTTTCCTTCCTTCCTTCCTCCTCCTGAGTGAGCCTCGGTGCCTCCGGATCCGCGAGAAGCGAAAGATGCCGCACTCGGCGGAGGCGGAGGAGACGGAGGAAGGCATCCGCCGCTTCTCCCCAGGAGTGAGTAGTAGGAGCACGGAGGATCCGCAGCAGGCTCTTGCCTTGCTCCCTTCTCCCCCAATGCCTCCCTCTTCTCAACTCCCCCAAACTCTCATCCTCTCTCCCCTCAAAGTCTCCTCTTCCCCGCCTCCTCTCTCTCCCCTTTCCCCGGCTCTTCTCTTCCTCCTCTTTCCCCTTTTCTCCCTTCTCCCTCTTTTTCCTTCTCTCCCACCCCCTTTTCTTCTTCTTCTTCTTCTTCTTTTCCTTCTCTCTTTTCCCTCCTCCTCTTTTCTTCCTCCTCCTTTCTCTCCTTTTTCCTTCTCTTTTCCCCCTTTCCCCTTTTTTCTTCCTTTCCACTTTTTCCTTCCCTCTTCTTCCTTCTCTCCCTCCCATTTCCCTTCTCTCCTTCTCTTTTCTTCCATCTCCCCCTTCTTTTTTCTTCTTCCCCCCTTTTTCTTCCCTTCCTATTTTTCCTTCTCCCCCTCTTCCTTCTCTCTTTCTCCTTCTCTCTCTTATTCCTTCTCTCACCCTCTCTTTTTCTTCTCTTCTTCATTTTCTTTCTCTCTTCTTCTTCCTAATCCTCTCTTCTTCCTTCTCTCCCCTTCTTCCTTCTCTCCCTCTCTTCTTTATCCTCTTCTTCTATTCTTTCCCCTCTCTCTTTTATCTCCTCTCCCTCCCTTCATCCTTTTCTCCCCCCTTTTTCCTCCTCTTCCTCTCTTCTTCCCCCTCTCCCCCTCTTTTTCTTCCCTTTCCTCTCTTCTTTCCCCTCTCCCTCTCTTTTACCTCCTCTCCCCTCTTCTTCCTGCTCCCTCTCTTCATTAACCTCTTTCTCTCTTCTCCCCCTCTCCTCTTTTCCTTCCTCTATTCTTTCCCCTCTCCCTCTCTTTTACCTCCTCTCCCCCTCTTCTTCCCCCTCTCCCCCTCTTCATCCTTCTCTCCCTCTCTTCTTTCTTTTCTTACTCTCTTCTTCCCCCTCTCCCCCTCTTTTTCTTCCTCTTCCTCTCTTCTTTCCCCACTCCCACTCTTTTACCTCCTCTCCCTCTTCATCCTTCTCTCCCCCTCTTTTTCCTCACTCCCTCTTCTTTCTTTCTTCCTCTCTTCTTCCCTCTCCCCCTCTTTTTCTTCCTCTTCCTCTCTTCTTTCCCCCCACTCCCCTCTTTTACCTCCTCTCCCTCTTCTCTCTCTCCTCCTTCTTTCCTTCTCTCCTTCTCTTCCTCTTCCCCCTCTCCCCTCTTTTTCTTCCTCTTCCTCTCCTCTTTCCCCACTCCCCCTCTTTTTCTTTCTCTTCCTCTCTCTTTTCCGTCTCTCCCTCTCTTCTTCCTGTTCCTTCTCCCCCTCCCCCTTCCCAGTTTTTTCCTCTTTTTCTTTCCCTCACAATCTCTCCTTCTCCCTTTTGCCTCTCTCCCCTTCTCCTGCTCTCCAAAACTTCCCCATCTCAGCTCCCTCCGCAGACACTACCCCAGCTCTCCTCCCTTGAACTCTACTCTTTCTCTCCTCCACCTCTGAATCCCCCTGCTGTTCCTTTTCCCCAAAGTCCCCCATGTTTCTCCAGCTTTCTCCGAACTCCCCCCTCCTTTTGTCGTCCTTCTCTCCCCCTCTTCTTCCTCCTCTCCCTCTTTTCTTCTCCCTCTCCCTCTCTTATTCCTTCTCTCCCCGCTTTTTCCTTTTCTCTCTAGTCTTCTCTCTTTCTCTTCCTCCTCCTCTCCCTCTCTTTTTCCTTTTCTCCTCTCTCCCTTCTGTCTTTCTCTTCTTCCTCCCCTCCTCCTCTTTTCTTCTTTTTCTCCCTCTCTTCTACCCTCTCCCCTCTTTTTCCTTTTCTCCCTCCGTGCCTTCCTCCTCCTCTCTTTCTCTTCTTCCTTCTCTCCTTCTCTTCTTCCTCCTCTCCCTTTCTTCTTCCTTTTAAACAGAGGCTGGATGGCCATCTGTCAGGGGTGATTTGAATGCAATATTCCTGCTTCTTGCAGGGAGTTGGACTGGATAGCCCATGAGGTCTCTTCCAACTCTTTGATTCTATGATTCCTTCTCTCCCCCTCTTTTTCCTTTTCTCCCTCCCTCCCTTCCTCCTCCTCTCTTTCTCTTCTTCCTTCTCTCCTTCTCTTCTTCCTCCTCTCCCTTTTTTCTTCCTTCTCTCCCCCTCTTTGCCCTTTTCTCCCTCCCTTCTTTTTCCTCTCCTCCTCTTCTTCCTCTACTCCCCCTTTTTTCCTCCTCCCCATCCTTCTTCCTCCTCTCCCCCTCTTCTTCCTCTCCCACCCTTCTTCCTCCTCTCCCTCTCTTCCTCCGCCTCTCTTCTTCCTCCTCAAGGAAGACAATCAGTCCCTTCTCTGACCTTGCATTTGGGGGCTGAAAACTGATTCAACTCTCCCCCTCTTTTGTGCGAGGCAAAGGCATCCATGCAGAGTGGGGTGTCAACCAGAGAATTTAGGGGGACAGTAAGCTGGGAGAAGGATGTCTCTGAGTAATGCTGGGGGGGGGGGATTGGGGTACCGGTTTAGTTCAGGAGAAGAGGCTTTGGGCTGCAGTCTCTTCCTAAAAACACCTATCAGAGTGGTCAGGGTTGATAGATGGATAGGGCCCAGATTTGGCAACGCACACTCCTTCTCCTTTGCTTCCTTGTCTTGCACAATGTCCTCCACAAATATGTCAAAAATAGGTTGAGAAAGTGATAGACTCGAAAACTAAGAAGATTAAGAGATGGAGACGGCAGCAGGATCTGTAGATGTTTAATATACCGTATATACTGGAGTATAAGCCAACCCGAATATATAGACACCTAATTTTACGACAAATCTGGTAAAACGTTTTGACTCGAGTATAAGTCAAGGGTGGAAAATGCAGCAGCTACAGATCCAATAAAAATATATATAAATAGATACCAATAAAATGGCATTAATTGAGGCATTAGTAGGTCCAATGTTTTTGAATATTTACCGTATTTCAAAGGAAAACAGTAAATCATCATTGTAACCTCCTTCAATGTAAATGTGCTTATGTATCCTTCCAATAATAATAAACTAATAAATGTAATAATAATAATAATAATAATAATAATAATAGTAAAGTAATGGAAATGTAGTAATAACAGTAATATTAAGGTACAATAATACATTTAGTAACAATAATAACCAGAGTAAAATAATAAATGTAATAATAATAACAATAGAGTAAAATTATGTAAATGTAATAATTATAATAATAGAGTAAAATAATGTAAATGTAATCATAATAATAATAAAAATAAAGAAAAATAATAAATGTAGTCATAACAATAATAGAGTAAAATAATGTAGATGTAATAATACCAATACTAGAGTAAAATGAGAGCTGTAATAGTAATAATAATAATAATAATAATAATAATAACAACAACAACAATAATATGATACATGTAATAGTGATAATAGCCAGAGTAAAATAATGTAAATGTAATAATAATAATAATAATAATAATAATAATAAATAATAATAAATGTAGTCATATCAACAATAGAGTAAAATAATAAATGTAATCATAACAATAATAGAGTAAAATTAGAGATGTAATAATAATAATAATAATAATAATAGTAAAATAATAAATGTAATAGCAATAATAACTAGAGTAAAATAATGTAAATGTAATAATAATGATAATAATAATAATAAAGAAAAATAATAAACGTAATAATACCAATAATAGAGTATAATAATATATGCAATAAAAATAATAATAGGGTATAATAATATGAATGTAATAATAATAATAATAATAGAGTAAAATAATGTAGATGTAATAATACCAATAACAGAGTAAAATAATAAATGTAATTATAACAATAATAGAGTAAAATAATGTAGATGTAATCATAACAATACTAGAGTAAAATTAGAGATGTAATAATAATAATAATAATAGTAAAATAATACATGTAATAGCAATAATAACCAGAGTAAAATAATGTAAATGTAATAATAATAATAATAATAATAATAATAATAAAGAAAAATAATAAACGTAATAATACCAACAATAGAGTCAAATAATAAATGCAATAAAAATAATAATAGGGTATAATAATGTGAATGTAATAATACCAATAACAGAGTAAAATTAAAGATGTAATAATAATAAATAGTGTAAAATAATAAATGTAATAAAAATAATAATAGAGTAAAATAATAAATGTAATAGCAATAAATGGAGAAACATAATAAATGTATAATAGAGGAAAATAATGTAAATGTAATAATAATAATAAAAATAATAGAGTAAAATAATAAATGTAATAATAATTATTGGGAAGTGTCCAACTTGTGGTGCAATGAACAGCCAGCAGAGTGATCTTGTTTGCTGTGGACTCATCTTGTTGTGCTTCAAATAATAATAATAATAATAATAATAATAATAATAATGACAATGACAACAACAACAACAACAGAGTAAAATCATAGAATCATAGAATCAAAGAGTTGGAAGAGACCTCCTGGGCCATCCAGTCCAACCCCCTGCCAAGAAGCAGGAATATTGCATTCAAATCACCCCTGACAGATGGCCATCCAGCCTCTGTTTAAAAGCTTAAAAAATAATAATCTTAACTCGAGTATAAACCGAAGGAATCTTTTTCAGCCTAAAAAGGGGGCTGGAAAAACTAGGCTTATACTACAGTATATATGGTATATGTTGGGGCTTAGTTGCTCGATATCCTCCTAGTATTTATCAGCTACCAACCTCAGATACTGTAGGACTTCAATAGAATTGTATTGCTGTTAAGAATAAGGGGCTTCTTACTGGGTTGTTGTGAGTTTTCCAAGCTGTATGACGATGTTACAGAAGCATGGCCATGTTCCAGGAGCATTCTCTCCTGACATTTTATCTGCATCTATGGTAGGCATCCTCAGAGGTTGTGAGGTGTGTTAGAAACTAGGAAAATTGGGTTTATATATCTGTGGAATAATGTCCAGGATGGGAGAAAGGATTCCCACCCTGGACACCTTGATTAGCATTCAATAGCCTAGTGGTTTCAAGGTCTGGCTTCTTACTGCCTGGGGGAATCCTTTGGAGGAACGTGGCCATACAGCCCGGAAAACTCACAAGAACCCCGTGACTCCAGGTATGAAAGCCTTCGACAATACAAGGTGGATGGGCCTTGATGTTAAGTATTTGTGCAGAAATTCCACAACATGCCCATCGCCCGCATCTTTTCCATGCTCCCCATTGGATGCACTTGGAGCCCCCGGTGGCGCAGTGGGTTAAACCCCTGTGGCGGCAGGACTGAAGACCGACAGGTTGCAGGTTCGAATCCAGGGAGAGGCGGATGAGCTCCTTCTATCAGCTCCAGCTCCTCATGCGGGGACATGAGAGAAGCCTCTCACAAGGATGATAAAAAAAAACATCAAAATCATCCAGGTGTCCCCTGGGCAGCGTCCTTGCAGACGGCCAATTCTCTCACACCAGAAGCGACTTGCAGTTTCTCAAGTCACTCCTGACATGACAAAAAAAATTGGAGCACTTGAATTTATTTGTTTATTTATTTATGGCATTTATATGCTGCCCATCTCACCCCAAAGGGGACTCAGAGTGGCTTACAAGATATATATTCATACAGTATATTATATTATTAGCATAGTACAATATCAGTCAGTGGAGCCCCCGGTGGCGCAGTGGGTAATAATAGTAAAATAATAGTAATATAACTATAAAAATAAATAATAATGCAGATAAAATAATATACTAAAATAATAGTAATATAACAATAAAATAATATTCAAATAATAATGCAGATAAAATACTAGTAATAATAGTAATATAACAATAAAATAATATTTAAATAATAATGCAAATAAAAGGTGGCGCAGTGGGTTAAAGCACTGAGCTACCAAGCTTGTTGATCGAAAGGTCACAGGTTCGATTCCGGGGAGCGGCGTGAGCTTCCGCTGTCAGCCCTAGCTTCTGCCAACCTAGCAGTTCGAAAACATGCAAATGTGAGTAGATCAATAGGTACCGCTCCGGCGGGAAGGTAACGGCGCTCCATGCAGTCATGCCGGCCACATGACCTTGGAGGTGTCTACGGACAACGCCGGCTCTTCGGCTTAGAAATGGAGATGAGCACCACACCCCAGAGTCAGACATGACTGGACTTAATGTCAGGGGACAACCTTTACCTTTTACAATATCAGTATTATATATTACTATATTGCATTATACCATTATATTGCATATAGCATAAAGAATCAGAGACAGAAAAAAGGAAAGACAGGAAAGAGAGAGAGAAGGGTTGTTTCTCAGGCAGCAACATTCCAGTTTTCTTCTCTTGATCATCACATGGGATTCGTAGCTCGACTGGGAGCTGTAGGACTGCATCTTTCACAGAGCTTTGGAAGACCATGGAAAGGCAGGAGGTGGGGAAAAGGGCGGTAGAGATGAAGGAGAGGGGGGAAAGGCTGAGCTGAGCTCTGCTTTGGCACAAAGGGATCATTGGGAGGCTGGCAAAGAGCTCCCGTGGCAGGAGAGCCCACCAATTTCAGGGGAAGAGGATTGGAGGAGGGGAGAGCAGCACTCTGGATGCCATGGAGGAGGGGAGAGGAGTCTGGCAACTGCCCCAGTGCTGGGAAAAGGAGGCGGGCAGGAATGGGAGAGTTAAGTAGGGCATGGACAGTTGGCAAGTTGAAGCTTCCCACGTCTCTCTCTCTCTTTCTCCCCTCCCCTTCCCAGGAATTTGCTGGGGAGGGGGAAAGATCTCCCTTAAGAGGACCCAAGCCCAGAGAGAGCTCTCGGTTGGGTTTGCAATGATGTCAGAGTATGATGGGGAGATGAGGGAGGGATCAGAGGGTGTTGTGGATGATGGAAGGGCTCCCACCAAGAACTTGGCGCTGAGCCCCTTTGCTTCTTCCTTGCTTGGTCCTGCCTTCCCAGTTGGCCGCTTCCTTGTGTCAACCAGGGTTCTGCTTTCTTCTTCCCCACCTCCCTTAAGGTTTGACCGCAGGTGCTGAAGCTGGGCTCGCCGGAGCATAAAGATGCTGAAGGGTGTTTGGCTGCTCAGTGTGTTCACAGTGGCTGGGATCTCACCGACGGAGAGCCGCAAACCTGCCAAAGACATTTGCAGCAAGAGCCGCTGCCCTTGCGAGGAGAAAGAGAATGTGCTGAATATTAATTGCGAAAACAAGGGATTTACAACCGTCAGCCTGCTCTTGCCTCCGCCGTCCAAGATCTACCAGCTCTTCCTCAACGGCAATGCCTTCGTCCGGCTCTACCCCAATGAGTTTGTCAACTACTCCAACGCTGTGACCCTCCACCTGGGCAACAACGACATGCAGGAGATTCGAACTGGGGCCTTCGTTGGCCTTCGGACTCTGAAGAGGTTGCACCTCAACAACAACAAGTTGGAAATCCTTCGGGAGGACACTTTCCTGGGTTTGGAAAGCCTAGAGTACCTTCAGGCTGATTACAACTACATCAGCACAATTGAGGCAGGAGCTTTCAGCAAGCTCAACAAGCTGAAAGTGTTAATCCTCAATGATAACCTCCTGCTTTCTCTGCCAAGCAATGTGTTCCGCTTTGTCCTGCTCACTCACTTGGATCTCAGAGGGAACAGGCTCAAAATGATGCCTTTTGCTGGTGTCCTGGAACACATTGGGGGCATCATGGAGATCCAGCTGGAGGAGAATCCTTGGAACTGTACCTGTGACCTTCTGCCCCTCAAAGCCTGGCTAGATACCATCACCGTCTTCGTTGGGGAGATTGTTTGCGAGACCCCTTTCAGACTGCATGGCAAAGATGTCACCCAACTCACCAGGCAGGACCTTTGCCCTCGAAAAAGTTCTGGGGACTCCAACCAGAGGGAGAAGCACCCTTCCCATTCAGATACGCACAGTCAGAAATATCCCCCAACAGCCAACTCTGCCGTTGGTGCAACCAGGGCTCCCAAAGCCAGTCGCCCACCCAAAACAAGGAACCGCCCCACCCCACGGGTCACAGTGTCTAAAGACAGGCAGATATTTGGACCAATCATGGTTTACCAAACCAAGTCCCCTGTGCCACTCACTTGTCCAACTGGTTGTGTCTGCACTTCTCAAGGTTCTGACAATGGGTTGAATGTCAACTGCCAAGAGAAAAAGATTGGCAACATTTCCGATCTCCACCCAAGACCCACCAGTCCAAGAAAACTCTATCTAACAAGCAACTATTTGCAGACTATCTACAAAACCGATCTCTTGGAATACAGCTCGTTGGATTTGTTGCACTTGGGGAATAACAGGATTGCAGTGATCCAAGAAGGTGCCTTCTCTAACCTCACCTCTTTACGCAGACTCTATCTCAATGGCAATTACCTTGAGGTCCTGTATCCTTCCATGTTTGAAGGGCTACACAGCTTGCAATATCTGTATTTAGAGTATAATGTCATTAAAGAGATCTTGCCACGTACCTTTGATGCGCTGGGAAACCTTCATCTCTTGTTTCTGAACAACAACTTGCTGAGGTCCCTCCCAGACAACGTGTTTGGGGGCACAACCCTCACCAGGCTTAACTTGAGGAACAACCATTTCTCCTTCTTGCCCGTGCGAGGGGTCCTTGATCAGCTTTCGGCCTTGATCCAGATTGATCTTCAAGAAAACCCATGGGATTGTACTTGCGACATTATGGGGCTGAGGAACTGGATCGAACGTGTCACCGAGCAAAACAACAAGCAGTCGGGGACTCCGGTCGTCATTAACGAAGTAATCTGCGATTCTCCATCCAAGCACGCTGGAGAACATCTCAAGACCCTGAGCAAGGAAGCCATCTGCCCTGAAAATCCCAATATGTTAGATTCCTCCTTCTCCTTTCCGGACCTGAACACAGATGTGCCCCAAGCCTTCAGCATCTTCCCCAGTTCCTATCCGGAAATGCGGACGGAAGTCCCCCTCTCTGTGTTAATCCTGGGCCTGCTGGTTGTGTTTATTTTGTCGGTCTGTTTTGGAGCGGGCCTGTTTGTCTTTGTGCTCAAACGCCGCAAGGGCATGCCGAGCGTGCCTAGCAGTGCCAACAACCTCGACGTAAGTTCCTTCCAGTTGCAGTACGGGTGCTACAACAGCGAGGCGCACGATAAAGCCGAAGGGCATGTATATAATTATATCCCACCTCCCGTGGGCCAGATGTGCCAGAACCCCATCTATATGCAGAAGGAAGCGGACCCCGTAGCTTACTACAGGAACCTCCACGAATATAGCTATAGTAACCTTGAGCCTAAGAAAGAGGACTCGGCCAGCCTAGCGTTTACAATCACGGCAGCCGAGATGCTAGAGAAGCAGGCCTTTGCAAGGGAGCCGGAGCTGCTGTATCAGAACATTGTGGAAAGGGTCAAGGAGCTGCCTAGCGGAAGCCTGGTCCATTATAACTTTTGCACCCTCCCCAAAAGGCAGTTTGCCCCTTCCTACGAGTCGAGGCGACAAAACCAGGACAGGATAAATAAGACGGTTTTGTACGGGACTCCGCGGAAGTATTTTGCAGAACAGTCCAAACCGGACCTTCCGTTACTCCCGGGAAAGCTACAGACTGAACCAGACTACCTCGAAGTTCTGGAGAAACAAACTGCCATTAGCCAGCTGTGAATCGGGTGGGTTTCGGGAGGGTTCCCAGCAGGATTCGTTTCCTGGGGGGAGAAAAAAATCCTCTTTTTTTTTACAAAAGCAAAACTAACCCGGTTCCGAACTTGATCCGTCAAATCTAACCCGGTTCCGAACTTGATCCGCCAACTCCTTGAGGGTTTTTTGCATCATTGGAAGCCTACAACAATCCTTGTATTATGCCAGGACAATGAAGGGTGCTTTCTTTCTTTCTTAGGGTCCCGTTAAGTTATTTCTTTTTTCTCGCATTCCAGATTCCAGTCCCGTTACATATTGAGACTGACTGTTGGTAAGGAGAGATGTTTTGTCTCGGGAGGAAAAGGGCAGTGAAAGGATGCTAGGATATTGATCTCACCCCCACACAACATACATGCACATAGGAATGTTTTCGTTTTCTTTAAAGCAGTGTTTCTCAACCTTCCTAATTCTGCAACCCCTTAATACCCCTCCTCGTGTTATGCGCAGGGGTCCTCAAACTATTTAAAAGGAGGGCCAGGTCATAGTCCCTCAAACTATAATTTGAAAAAAACAAAACATAAATGGATTCCTGTGCACACTGCACATATCATATTTGTAGTGCAAAAGACACTTAAAAACAATACAATAATTAAAATGAAAAACAATTTTAACAAATACTAGCCATCCCCTGCCACATGTCACTGTGGCCCAGTCTTGTGATCTGGAAAATAAACTGATGAGAAAGTGTTGGTTTCTAATATATGTAATTTCTTTATGCTTGTGGGTAAACCAGTATTTGATTACGTTTTTTTTGCCCTGATGAAGGGATTTGGACTGGATGGCCTTAAGTATTTTCTGTTGGTCTTGGGAGTTCTGTGTGGGAAGTTTGCCCCAATGCGGTAGTTGGTTGAGTTCAGAATGCTCTTTGATTGTAGGTGAACTATAAATCCCAGCAACTACTAATCCCAAATCATCATCATCATCACTTTATTTCTTAATTAGTCGCTCTCTACCAAAGTGCTCCGAGCGACTTACAATTTAAAATAGCTTATACACAATATAAAACATTCAATATAAAAACATTCAAGGTCTATTTCTCCCAGACTTCATCTGTGTTTATATTTGGGCATATGGAGTATTCATACCGAGTTTGGTCCAGATCTGTCATTATTTGAGTCCACAGTGCTCTCTAGATGTAGTTGAACTACAACTCTAAAACTCAAGGTCAATGCCCACCAAACCCTTCTAGTGTTTTCTGTTTGTCATGGGAGTCCTAGAATCATAGAATCAAAGAGTTGGAAGAGTCCTCATGGGCCATCCAGTCGAACCCCCTGCCAAGAAGCAGGAATATTGCATTCAAATCACCCCAGACAGATGGCCATCCAGCCTCTGTTTAAAAGCTTCCAAAGAAGGAGCCTCCACCACACTCCGGGGCAGAGAGTTCCACTGCTGAACGGCTCTCACAGTCAGGAAGTTCTTCCTAATGTTCAGATGGAATCTCCTTTCTTGTAGTTTGAAGCCATTGTTTCGTGTCCTAGTCTCCAAGGAAGCAGAAAACAAGCTTGCTCCCTCCTCCCTGTGGCTTCCTCTCACATATTTATACATGGCTATCATATCTCCTCTCAGCCTTCTCTTCTTCAGGCTAAACATGCCCAGCCCTTTAAGCCGCTCTGTCTCCCCGAGGGGGACTCAGGGCGGTTTCCAAGTAACATCACCGAAACATACAAAGTAAACAGCATAACATAAAATTAACAAAACAACATAAGCATAAAATTATCACAATAACACATGTATATTAAAATAATCCTGCCTATTCAGAGCAATTAAAAAAATGTCAAGGTCTATTTCCCCCAAACTTCATCTGTGTTTATATTTGGGCATATGGAGTATTCGTGCCAAGTTTGGTCCAGATCCATCATTATTTGAGTCCACAGTGCTCTCTAGATGTAGGTGAACTACAACTCCAAAACTCAAGAGCAATGCCCACCAAACCCTTCTAGTGTTTTCTGTTTGTCATGGGAGTCCTGTGTGCCATGTTTGGTTCAATTCCATCATTGGTGGAGTTCAGAGTGCTCTTTGATTGTAAGTGAACTATAAATCCCAGCAACTACTAATCCCAAATATCAAGGTCTATTTCCCCCAAACTTCATCTGTGTTTATATTTGGGCATATGGAGTATTTGTGCCAAGTTTGGTCGAGATCCATCATTATTTGAGTCTACAGTGCTCTCTAGATGTAGGTGAACTACAACTCCAAAACTCATGGTCAATGCACACCAAACCCTTCTAATGTTTTCTGTTGGTCATGAGAGTTCTGTGTGCCATGTTTGGCTCAATTCCATCATTGGTGGAGTTCAGAATGCTCTTTGATTATAGGAGAACTATAATTCCCAGCAACTACAACTCCCAAATGACAAAATCATATATTTTTTTTCCAGTGATGGTCACTCCTTTTGTTGTGAGACGTTTTGTTGCCAAATTTGGTGTGATTTCGTTCATTGGTTCTTTTGTTTTTAAGGTACTCATTATGCACAGAGCATTTAGATAGATAGATGGATAGATAAACTTAATAGTATTTCAATGGGAAGTGTGCACCTACTTTTGGCTGAAGAGATAGGATTGTTGTTGTTGTTGTTGTTGTTGTTGTTGTGTGCATTCAAGTCGTTTCAGACTTAGGTTGACCCTGAGCGAGGGCCGCTTAAATGACCTTGGAGGGCCGCATCTGCCCCCCAATCCTTCGTTTGAGGATCTCTACGTTATGGTGACCCCCAACCATAACATTATTTTCATTGCTACTTCACAATTGCAATTTTGCTACTGTTGTGAATCACAATATCTGATATGCAGGATGTATTTTCATTCAATGGACCAAATTTGGCACAAATACCCGATATGTCCAAATTTGAACACTGCTGGAGTTGGGGAGGATTGATTTTGTCATTTGGGAGTTGTAGTTGCTGGGATTTATAGTTCCAAGACTACTCTCCGTCAATGATGGAACTGAACCAATCTTGGCAAACAAAACTCCCATGACCAACAGAAAATAGTGGAAGTGTTTGGTGGGCATTGACCTTGAGTTTTGGAATTGTAGTTCACCTATATCCAGAGAGTCCTGTGGTGAGAAAGTGATGTTTCTCTCTGTGAGAAAACTGGCTCAGAAACTGCAGGATCTCAAGGCCAGTCCGAGGAGTCAGAAGTAGCAACAGCAGATAAAGAATAGAGTGAAGAGCTGAGTGATAAGGAGGGCTCCCAGGAGAAACCATATGTAGCTACAGAAATTCAGGTCAGGGAAGTGATGTTTCTCTCTGTGAGAATACTGGCTCAGAAACCGCAGGGTCTCAAGGCCAGTCCAAGGAGTCAGAAGTAGCAACAGCAGATAAGGAATTGAGTGAAGAGCTGAGTGATAAGCAGGGCTCCCAGGAGAAACCATATGTAGCTACAGAAATTCAGGTCAGGAAAGTGATGTTTCTCTCTGTGAGAAAACTGGCTCAGAAACTGCAGGATCTCAAGGCCAGTCCAAGGAGTCAGAAGTAGCAACAGCAGATAAGGAATTGAGTGAATAGCTGAGTTATAAGGAGCGCTCCAAGGAGAAATCATCTGTAGCTAACAGAAAGATTAACAAAAGTCTCTGTTTACAAATCAGAGCTGAAAATAGCCAACAGAAAATACCACAAGGGTTTGGTGGGCATTGACCTTGGGTTTTGGAATTGTAGTTCACCTACATCCAGGGAGCACGTTGGACTCAAACAATGATGAATTTGAAGCTAACTTGGCACGAATACTCAATATGCCCAACTGTGAACACTAGTGGAGTTTGAGGAAAATAGATCTTGACATTTGGGATTTGTAGTTCCTGGGATTTATAGTTCACCTACAATCGAGTATTCTCAATTCCGCCAATGATGGAATTGAACCAATCTTGGCAAACAAAACTCCCATGGCCAACAGAAAATACTGGAAGGGTTTGGTGGGCATTGACCTTGAGTTTTGGAGTTGTAGTTCACCTACATCCAAAGAGCACTGTGGACTCAAACAATGATGGATCTGGACAAACTTGACAAGAATGCTCAATATGCCCAAATGTGAGCACTGGTGGAGTTTGAGGAAAATAGACCTTGACATTTGGGAGTTGTAGTTGCCTGGATTTATAGTTCACCTATAATCGAAGAGTATTTTCAACTCTGCCAATGATGGGATTGAACCAATCTTGGCAAACAAAACTCCCATGACCAACAGGAAATACTGGAAGGGTTTGATGGGCATTGACCTTGATTTTTGGAGTTGTAGTTCACCGATATCCAGACTCATTGTCCACAGACTCATAGTTTGAGTCTGTGGACTCAAACAGTGATGGATCTGGACCACACTTGGTATGAATGCTCAATATGCCCTAATGTAAACACTGGTGGAGTTTGAGGGAAATAGATCTTGACATTTGGGAGTTGTAGTTGCTGGGATTTATAGTTCACCTGCAACCAAAGAGCATTCTGAACCCCACCAGCGATAGAATTGGACCAAACTTCCCACACAGAACCCCCACAACTAACACAAAATACTATGCAGGCGAAACGTCAGGAGAAAATGCCTCTAGAATATGGACATATAGCCCGAAAAAGACCTACAACAACCCACAAAATACTATGTTTTCTGATGGTCTTTGGCGACCCCTCTGCCACCCCCCCCCCCCACGACCCCCAGGTTGAGAAACACTGCTTTAAAGTAATGTATTAAATAGGTGGGAGCCCCCGATGGCACAGCGGATTAAACCGCTGAGCTGCTGAATTTGCTCACTGAAAGGTCGGAGCTTCAAATCCACGGGAGTGGGGTGAGCTCCCACTGTTTAGCTCCAGCTCCTGCCAACCTAGCAATTCGAAAACATTCAAATTGTGAGTAGATCAGTAGGGACCACTTTGGCGGGAAGGTAATGGTGCTCCATGCAGTCATGCCGGCCACATGACTTTGGAGGTGTCTACGGACAACGCCGGCTCTTCAACTTGGAAATGGAGACGAGCGCCGCCACCCCAGATTTGGACACGACTAGACTTAACGTCAAGGGGAAGCCTTTACTTTATGAAGCAGGTGATCTCTCCAAATATCTCCTCCTCTCTTCCTCCTTCCTCCTTTTTGTAAATACTACTATTGCCCATGCAGCTCTGTCAATGACCAAGTTCAGCCACTGGGTGTCACCTTCTTTTATTTTTGTGTGATTGTTAAAGTGCCTTTGCACTTTAAGTATGTTATTACTTAATTGTTGCGCTTAGCTTTGATAAATTCGAATCTATTTTAATGTATTGTATTTCTTTTGATTATTATTATTATTTCTGGGAAATTTCAAACAACAACAACAGCAGGTGTAAAATAGAGATCTAACGTGTTGGCTGCATTCAATCAAAAGGGTCTACTGCTTAAGTGATGGCAAAAATAGCTCCAAGAGGGTTGTTGTAGGTTTTTCCGGGCTATACGGCCATGTTCTGGAGGCAATTTTTCTCCTGACGTTTCGCCTGCATCTATGGCAAGCATCCTCAGAGGTAGTGAAATCTGTTGGAAGTAGGAAAAATGGGTTTATATATCTGTGGAAGGACTTTTGTCCGCTGGGGCTAGGTGTGAATGTTTCAGCTGATCACCTTGATTAGCATTCAATGGCTTGGAAGTGCCTGGGGGGAATCTTTTGTTGAGAGTGATTTTA